TATGTTGCAGTGCCCACGTCAAATGCTGAAATGTTGGGAGCGGTCAGTCGCAGCGGGACGCTACTTGCAGGCCGGAGGGGTGGTATCGTCATTTATGCAAGATCTTGGAGTGTGTTAGTGAAATGGGTGACGTTAAACTGGTGAAGCAATAAAGTTCGGGGAAAATTTCATCAATCAGCGAGAGGCGAGATGGTGCAGCGTTTGCCGCTGCCAGTTCGCTAATGTGACCTGCTGTGAGTGCGCGCCCAGTGACCTGCTCCAAGGCTGTCAACAAGAGCTTGGCTGTCGTGTGGGGCGTTATCCGGTAGGAATACAAAGCTTCATCTTCGCAATACATTTGAAAAAGGACGCCAAAGATGGCATACGTGAGAGCTGACTAAATTGAGGGCAGGAACCTCATTAGAGCATTGAGCCCTGACGGAATCTAGATCTTCCCCTCCAGTTATGTGTCTCATGGTGTCGCATCTGCAATCTCTATCTGTCCTACTTCCGACAAAGTATGCTTTTTCCGCCCTGTTGCTAGCCTTTACGACGCGTTTCAACATATTTGGCGTACGCCGCATCTCTCCGCAAATTGTTCGCGGGGCAGCCAACAAGTGGCGACGCAGAGATTGCCGCCTGGCGGCGAGAAGCGGGACAGGGAAGGGGGATCAATATCGGCTATATAGAATTTGAATTCTGAACTGCTGAGATGAAGGCGAAGGCATCCTGCTGGAAAGGAGACGCCGGAATTCCCTTGGTTTTCCGATATTCGCCTACCTCCACAGGATGGACTTCCCAGTGGCATACGGAAGCGGAATAGTAGAGTCTTCTCCGCGGAGACATAGCAGATAAAGCTTTCTTTGGAAAATAGTGTCCCGATTCGGAAATCCCCAGCCGACTCGGTGAAAGCATACAGCGCAACTGGGACGAGTCCAAGACACTTTGAGCAGCATTGAAGCGCGTCCTGGCAGTTATTCCCTCATATCCACGTTCAAATATAAACATAATCACTGCTGATGGAGCTCCACAATCTGGAACTCTGCTCTCGTGCTTTCTCACTGCACTGCGGCTTCCCACCTTCAGTTGGCTTCCCAACTTCAGTTGGGTCTCAACGCGGCGACAACGCTGCAAGGGTGGTTCCAGATTGCCATACGGCCACCTATATTTGCTGAACTCTACAAATACTTTAGTACTATGTGATTGTCAGGCTTAAGCATATGCTTAGATTTGTGAGACCGCTCTACCAAGTTGCCATCACGGAATAGAATTTCAGCAGCAAATGGAAGAAGGTTTGGTGCCGTAGTTGGCGTCCAACTCAACTAGATGCAGGCCTTTTCAGACCGCGCACCTGTCCAATTGGCATTTCAACACGTCACACTGCTACCATGCCAAGTGCGAGGATGAAAACGCCCACAAGTTTTGGGAGTGCGACAGATGCAGAACCTGTGAGGGAGGAGACGATCCCGTCCCACTGCTGTTGCCTGAGTGCAGCAAATGACGACAGATTCACAGAGCTCAGCTAAATCGACGGCAATTAGAACACTGCGGGCCGCTCTGAAGTGAGTGGGACTGCTTCCTCTTACGTGAATGGAGCGGAATCTTCATCTGCAAGAGCATCAGGCATTGTCTTGCAAATCAATGCATAGCCATATTCTGAGGTCGCGTCACCATCAGCCTTTGCGAGTTCATCTGCCGCAGTGCTTGTTTTTTTAGTGCACGTCACGACCCGGCAGTCTACAGTGGCACTGGATGCGGGGTTGTAGAGAGCCACGAAGGAAGCGTTGTCTTGTTTGTCGTACAGGCCGTTGGCTTCGCTTTTTGAAGGCGGAAGTCCAGTGAAGTTTTTGAACGCTCCCTTCCAGGAGTCGACTGTGTCTTTGCATTTCGGTTGTGCATCAGTGAGAGATTTGAATGCATACGTTCCATCCTTGAACGGATTCTCAGCCTCTGAGTTGCTCGGAGCCTTTGTTGTTAGGGTCTGTGGAGGAAAAGAAAGTAGATAAAGAGCGCGGCCAAAATAATCTTGCTCAATGATGTCCCTCGAGGTGTGCCCTGCAACTTACTGGTATCAAGTATTCACAGAGCTTCCGCCATTCGGTATTTTCTTGTAGACCTCCAGTACCCGGCGTCGGTAATGTGTTTGGTTCTGAGGCCTGTGTGAAGTTGGACAACCCAGCTACTTCTCGAACAGCGTTGACCTCGTCGAGGCATTGGGCACTGTCGCCTGCAGCTCATGCATCCACAAGGCGACCCCAGTACAGGTGGGTCATTCAAATATATAGATGGGAAGGGAGAAGCATGTTAGAGACCGACGAGCCACGCTCAGTTGTCCATATGAGGTAAAGTCCGGCAGATCCAGTTCGAAACACACAGACCCAGGTTTTATTGATAATTTAGGGGAAACGCAACCGCTACTCGCTTACTAGTGGTTGCAGTATATGTGACAGTGGTCGTTTTGGACTGTTGTGAGCCGCCCAGTATTGGGGCGCTAAGCACTAGCAGGGATGTGCTGAGAAGAGCGCCGATCCTTGGCAGCATCATCAGCATGAGGACTTCCACGAGCTTCACCTTGAAACGAAGCAAGATTAAGAAGCTAAAAAAATTATCTGCAAACTGAATTCAATGGAGGGCTTTGACAGCGTGCAGTTGTATGGTCCTTCCTTGCGTGAAATGTTGGTGGCAGTCGTTCACAAGAGCAGGCACAAGCGAACGTGTTGCAAGGTCTGATTCGGCAGATCTTTGCAGCCTGAAGCATGCTCAACAAGTTCTTTAAGAGGAATATGAACCAACAAATGTTAGAT